TTTGCACACATATATGCGTATGTATATATAATCCCAAACCTGACCAACTCTTTTTCATACACAAATCAGGAATATACATTATTTATTGATATAAAAAAATAATACAAGATAACTAGGTCTCAATAGCTCTAATAAATAAAATGAAACTACTGCATTGAAAACCGTATTGAAAACCACAACTAAATTTAGCTAGCTTCAGTGAACTCTGCAGACATCTACAGGCACACATAGCCTATACTGGCAGAAGGTATATACTTTGTGCTAAGAAATGATTTCATAATCAAGCTAATGAATAGCCCAAGTCTGTTTCTACTGTTATCAGAACTATTATTGTCCTACAATATCCATCTGTAACTATTCACAACAGTACTCATAAGGCCATCCAGGTACCCTAAGCACAAACAGATTTTGTTTGGCAATTTGAAACAAACAAAAATCCTAAAAAGTAGTGACTAGATTTTATATATATGCAGTATGCATATTGGATATGCATACGGTGTATAAAGCTGTGTTTCCATATGCTCAGCTTTGGGAAGGTAATTTGTTTTACAGCAATGCCATAATGAATACTGTACTAAAAAGGAGGAAAAAAAAAAAAAAAGAAAAGGAAAAAATGCACATACTTCTCCATTTTAAAGCTGTATTTGTTTCTTTGTTACTAACCTAAATTCTGCTTAGTCTTTACTGCTGATGTCTGAAATGACACTCAGTCAAGTATTCCTGTGTTAGCCACCTTCCTTCTTTAGAAGAAACACACCCATTCATAACCAAAGTTGTATGTAACAACACATCAGTCCCTGCTCCCCTTCCAAATTATATTATCTCTACATTTCCTTTAATAATTGAAGTCTATGAAAGTATATCTAAACAAACTGAAAATTGCCTCTAACCAAAGCATATCTCTGTGAGTTAAATCATCAAAGACAAGCAGAGAACAGAAATCAGTTTAGGCCACAAAGTTGCAACAATTTATTTATGTGCTAACCTGAAACTGTGTTAATAGTCCCGTTGACTTCAGAGGAATTACTTATAGTCCATGAAGTTGAGCAATCTGTGTAAGTGATTGCAAAATTGAAACCTTAGATAGACTGTAATTGGATTTTGAAAAAGGCTCGGAAACCGAATGCACAGCTATAAATCACATGTCCTTGAACAAGGAGTTATATATCACAAAAAAAAAAAAAAAAAATGTTTGAAATATAATTATTTTTCTTAGTAGCTCAGCTGTGAGGACTAATTAATGAATAAAATTAATTTCAAATTATCACAGATCATGTAATGTAAAGTCCCTGAAGCATGTCATATATAAGTCAAAAGATATGAATCTTTGACAGACAATTTTATTTACTTTCTTGTTACAACTCCAGCTACAGTAAGTGAATTACCTGCATGACCCAGGGAAAGAAAGTTTATCAAATATTAGAGCCAGGTGAAGACCAAAGATATATATTACAAATGTGCCAAATAATTATAAAAGTATAAAATGAGTGCATTTATTTATTACCAGTTATGTCATGCTAGATATTTGGAGAGGACACGTGCTTTGTTTTAATTAGCTGTCTTTTTCACTGGGTTCCTTGGGTAAAGCCTCCTGCTAAGGGTAAATAATGTAGCCATTGGTCAAAATGCTTGTAACAAATCTTGTTTTAAATTGAAGCTATTTATTCAGAACACAATCTACTACTACTGCAGTAATCAATGTGTTTTCCCTTGGAGTAGAACTGCTCCTGTGCTACTGGAGGACTACTGTTAATTGCCTGTAACTAAATGATTGCTGTGCTTCTGGATGTAACTTTCTGGCAACTCGTTTTTTAACAGAATGTCTGTCCCCCTAAGGGTTAACCAAGTAATTTTCCTCTACTTTTTTCTGTGTTCAGTCTCACCTACTTAAGGAGGACCAGGTCTATAATTTGAGCAACACAACATAGAGGCTAAATTTTCATTTTTTGTCTCTCCCTTCTGATGTGGACTTGTGCTGAAATTGAATATTTTCAATATGTAGCCACTACAGCAAACTTGAATTTTAGCAGGAAAAACAGATCACACTTGAAAGGGAGTATATTCCTGCTGCAGCAACTGGATGCTCAAATCAGAATGAAAAAGGCAGAATAAAACAGCAGAAAAAAATGTTATTGTGAAGGTAACCATATGTTCTAACCTTGCTGTACGCTTAATTCAGCTTTAACAGTCACTATATCACTCTGAAATTGTTGAGATACACATCACCAACACCCCTAGCGTTCACAGAGCACCTTTCAGGAATAACCTCTCCTAGGAAGAAGCCAGAGCACCTTCCCCAATTCACACTGGTAAAACCAAGGCAAAGAAATGTGAAATGGTTTCAGTCACCTGAGGGGCCAACAGCAGAGGCAAGACTGAGCATTCTGCTTCTCACACCTTGAGTTCAGCTCATCATGGGGTAACACTGTTCCCAAAAACCCTGTGGCAGATTAGAGCCAGCAAGTGGGCCCTTAGGGCACGGTTTAGCATCCTGCAGAAACACAAACTCAAGGCCTGAAAACAATCAACTTAGCATGACACTGTGCTCAGGACAATCCATCCTGCCTTCCACAGTGCTGCAGAGATGTAGCTGTTCCACTTCCAGCACTTTGGGGGTTGGCTCAGGCATCTGTAGGGCTGGGTGTAAGGATGCAGCAGTCTGCTGGGCTAACCACTGCCCTCTCTGCCTCTAAACCCCGACAAACAGCACCCAAGACAGGGAACAAACATGAGCTGAAAGATGTTGTCCAGCACAGAGGAAAAAAATAGCTTGCTATGTTAGATCAATAGACCATGAAACCTACATTGCAAAAAAATCTGTTTAAGAAAGAATCACTTCATCCTTGTCCTCAGAAGCAATCACAATGGGCTCAGCAGCAGCACGTGAAAAGGTAATTGCTAGTACGTTTCAGGTTGAGTTAGAGAATTTTGTTGTTTGCTTTGATTGCCTAATTAAGGACAGCTTTGTGTGGCTTCACATAAATTTTACTGAAGGAAGCATATAGGTATAATCTTATTTTATGGGGGAAAAGATAACTAAGAGGACTGATGGCAAAAGTGATGCAGTGCATTAGTCTGATTTCATGCACAGTGACAGACAGCAGATGACTACTGGCAGTTATTTTTTTTTTTCATCTAATCTCAAAATCATTAGTTTAGGAAAAACTTCCCTTTTCCAGTTGTAAAGTTTTTCTTTCCCTTTAATGAGTCATAACAGCAGGCACATAAATAGAGAATTTTGTGCCTGGGAACCTGATATATTAAAGCCTTTCTTCTAGTTACCATTGAACAGCTGCATCACCTGTAGTACAAAATGATAAACAGAGTATAGTAAGTCAGTGCAGAGTAATTTCCATTTCCATTTATATTCTAAAATATTGTATTACTTGTCTATGCAAACAATTTTTTATGGGTGTTTTTAATAACATTCCCCTCTCTGGACCAGAAAAGTATTGAAGTCTGAAATAACCATGTCAGTCTTAAAAATATCTAACACAAAGGAGTTTCCAGCACAGTTTTGGAGAGAATGACATGGAATATAAATGCCTTTTTATTTTATTTTATTACATTTTTAGTGTCTTCTAGAGAGTAATGAAATCTTCTTACAGTTGCCTCAAAATAGTAAAAAAAAAAGTGTGTGATTCTCAGTGGACACTGTCAAAATAAATGGAATTGTCACTTTCTCCTCTAACCTTTTATTTCTCTAATTGAATTGCATTGTGCTGGATTATAATATCTGCACAACCACACACACACATTTTAAAAAAAAAGGTTAGTTCTGGGCTACCCTGCTTCACTCAGACAGAAACTGCCCACTGGAAGGGGATACTGTGAAAATAACACAGAACTGGTCTTGCTCCAGCACAGATTTTTTTTATGAACCAAACTCTGCATCTTAGATTTGCAAGATTTGGTTTTTTTAATTCCTCAAAACTGAGTGATTTGGAAAAGTATGGAAAGTCTTAACATTTGCCACCTATTGCTCATTTCAAAGTAAAAAATTGTTCATAACTCTCCTTCTTCTCCCATCCTCCTTTTTTAACACTGCCAATTTTCAGCCACTGAGCAAATGAAAACTATCAACAAGATGGAAACCACGTAGCTCTGTGAGCTTCCTTGAGTGTGCAACACTTAAAACTAAGGGAGATGAAAGTCCATGATAGCATATTGCTTTTGCCTTGATAAGTGGCTCCACTACTGGTGGTAGGCAGTTTTTGACCACATTTGACCGGAGTCCCCCACCTCAGGAACAGAGTTACATGGTGGTGACCCCAATCCATCATGTGAGCAGACTGCAGTAAAGACACCAGTGCGTTAGGCTGAGTGGGAATGTCGGAACAGATGAATCGAGATGGTTTGCTGTGACTACACATAAACTAAGCCCATTGGGGGAAAGGTGAGAATAAAGATGAAATGTAGATCTCTGGGAAACTGTGTTGAAGATGTGAACATATAATTGAGATGTAGAGCTGCAGGGTTCCTTGGGTAATTTGTCTTCACATGTCTTGAGTTTTTTGGGTTTTGATTTTTTTATCTTTACTCAGGAAAAAATAATCAAAGTCGTAGTACGGTCTTGTCCAGTAGACTAAAATTCATCCTATTTGTATGTGGAATAAGGGAGAAGCTGGTTTTGCATTATAGTCCCTAAAAAGGAAATATTCACATCTAATGCCATTGTAAGTCAAACATCAACATTTATCTGTGTAAAGCAAACTGTGATCTATCTACAGAAAGAGAAGAGTTATCAAACGTATCATGTATATGCACATATTCATGCACATACATACATGCCCAGCAATTTTCAGAGAAAAAACAGTTTATAGAAGAAAAAACAAAAAAATACTATTATGTGTTTCTTCAAGGGCCCTATAATGAAATGAATTCATAAATGACCCATCATTCATTATTTTATTTTAATGTTTAACAGAAGTGCGAGGTCTGCTGCTAATCTTTCTGTGGTTTGGAACGTGGTTGTTACTGCATTTTGTAATTCTTTGCAGAGCTGATGTACACAGTTGAGCTTGCTGGTGGGCTTGGTGCTATTCTGCTGCTGCTTGTTTGTTTAGTGACTATCTACAAGTGTTACAAGATAGAGATTATGCTCTTCTACAGGAACCATTTTGGAGCTGAAGAACTAGATGGAGGTAAGGCAGCTTCTTAGTATGTTTTCTACTTTCTAAGAATTATTGTCTTTTATTTCTCTCCACCAAGGCCCAGATTTCATTTCAGTTCAAGATGTGGTAACAACTGCAATTTTTATTTCTCACTGCATTAGGCACTTACTTGAATACACTTTCCTCATACACCACATAAGCTCAATAACTGCTGAGCTGTACATGCTGCTCTCCGGAGCTCCAGAAGACATCCATGTCTTTTCAATTCTTATTTCCAACACTGAATGTAAACCAACAACATTGATGCATTGAAGATTTTCACTTTCTGTCGGTACTGAAAGCCAGCTTCATTTCTGCATGAGCTAGGGAGTGTCCTCCCTAATTGTATTCAACAAAGAGGTAGAGGCTGAAGTGAATCTCAATTTACTGCTTGTTTAAACTGATCCATTTCAATAAACTGTACTGAGTGTTTGGGAATGTACCCAGCAGTTCTTGTTCTTGAGTTCATTTACTTAATCACTGAGAGAGCTGCTAATGGTCATTAAAGTTGTTCTGTGATTCAAGCACACCCAGACTAAACAAAAGTAATTCTCAATGTATGCACCAACTCTGTCAAACATATACGTGCATTTTCTTTTCTTTTCTTCTCTTTTTAAGCACTGAAGAAAAAGGTCTTATTTACCTCTAGCCCTACTAATCAAAATTGCTGTTGAACAGTGAACAGCTAACTGGGTTGAGCTGGAGGCTCTGGTTAATTAGATTTGATTTCTCAGGTCAGAGTTCCTGATGTTTTGTGCTACCACTATGTCTTTGGCGACAGGACCTTACTTTCTACAGAAATACTAATAAAAGTTATTTTACAGTTCCAGGTAACAGCTTGTAGGCAGAAGCCACTGTGACATATAAAAATAAATATGTACTGATAAACAAGTGATGGCCAAATCTGTCACTGATAAGGGAGAAGAGCAACAGCAGAATTACAAGTCATTATATAAGAGAAGAATTCCATAATAAACTCACTTGGGAATGACCCATTTCTGCCTTCCACCTAAAAATGCACAAGCATTCAAAATAGAAAATGCTCAAAACAACAAGCCCAAGAACATTAGAACATTTTGTAACCTTCTAGAGGATTTACAAAAAGATGCATTAATATAGCAGCTCAGTGGGGAAAAAAAAAGTCAGGTTATTATATTTATTTTACAGAAAAGGAAACTGAGGCCCAGGGGGACTGTGAGTCATGGAGGATTTTGACAGACACTTTCTTTTTTATCTTTTTTTTTTCAGAAACTGAGATCCACTCCTCTCTACAAACTGGCTGCCAGTTTAAATGGGCATGCTTACTTGCATAAATTGTGTGAATTTAATAATAGTCATATGCAGAAAAAGTGACTTAAAATAATAATAGTTTAAATAGATGAAATATAATGTTTTCTCTCTCAGTATCAGTAATTCTTACTTTTATAGCTGTCATTTATCTTTATCTCAAATCATTCCAATTCATTTGCAAACTTACTCTGCCAGGTGTTATACTCTTGTCTCTGTCTTGTCCCATCCCAGACACTGGTCACCTGGGAACAACAATGCTTGAATCATACATTTTAAACATTTTTTAAAAAGTGACCTCTAAAGGGTACTATTCTGTGATTCAAAAGAAGGAAAACCAATATCCATTCAGTTTATCCTTCTGAGCAAAGGTCACTATTATAGAAGGTCAAGCATGGATTCTCCTTAGAAGACCAATGCAAACACTGATAGATTGGATGCTAAACCATGGCAATATAAGAAAAAAAATACTACTTACAGATTGCTAATGAAAACATTGAGCTTCTACTTTGTTTACTGTACTAGCAACATAGATAAAACCCATTCTGCCAAAGAAGGGACTGCAGCTGGACGTTTTACTCCGTCTCTTCCACTTACAGTCGTGCAAAACAAAGAGGACGGAGAGAAAATGTCCCAAAGAAACCAAGCCATGGCTTGTGTAGAAATAAATTGCAGATATACACTGAGATCTTTTCCTTTGCCTTAGTTTGTTATTGACAGACACAAAATGCTGAACTCTAAAATCTTATTCTAACCACATCTCCTGTGGTGCAGCAGCAGAGTGCCCACATGCTATTCATAATTTACACCATGTTCTGTCATACTTCAGGACAGCCTGTAGATAAGGAAACATCAAATATAACAGTCGTCTTTTACGTGCACTTTATTGTACCCAGAGAGGATTTGAAACACTTTAAAGGTGAAGTCCAATTAAAATTTTCAATTGAAAATCTCTTTTAAAATTCAATGCTTCATTTCTTTCCTGATCAGAGAACAAACCCTTCAGGATGTCAAATCTCATCACAATTTCTCTTTCCTTTCCAAACCTTAGACACATCAGTTTTTCTCAGGCTAACTAACACACATTTCTGTGGGAGGCACAGGTAAGTTGTGAGAAGTATTTGAAAACGAAGTGTTTAACCCTTACAGCTAATTCAACTGAAATTATTACTTTCTGTAGGGGTACTGCAGATTAAGCAATTGATCACAGCTGTTGATTCCTCATTTCTCTAATTTACAGCTTTGAATTCACTATTTTTTTTTCCTTATCCTAGGGACTAGACTCTCCTTCTGCTTTTTTCTCTCTCCTGCAAACACTGCAGCTCTGTCCTGGGAATGGGAATTGAAGCCCCCTTTTTTGTTTTCATGGTTAATTTCCTGCCTTTCCTATAATATATAATATAATATATTATTATATTTGGAATATAATAATTTTATCACTTCTCCTCTCACTCCATGCCTGTGCTTTCCAACAACGTGGGAACTGACTCCACACCAGGGGATTACGTGATGGGCATGTGCTGTGTCCTTTAGTGCAGAGCAGCACAATGTGCTGGTTTAGTCAGGGCACCTCACCATGAATGTCTGACAGTTCCCCCCGTAGCTGGAGCACACAGTCAAGAGAAACATTCTGACCCCTGGCAAAACAGCAGGTGTTTAGCATGACCTTGCATTTCAGAGTTATAACTCACCACTACCTGTTTGGTGGTCAGAAACTCCAAAATTTGTTTAAAAGGAAAAATTCAGTTTAATATCTCTCTGCATACACAGTAAATATGGGACCCCGAAGTGCTGTGCAAACAAAGAAATGTCCAGTGCTATTCTGAAAACAACAAAATTTTCACAAATAGATACTACTGGGAACTTCAGAGGACTAATCATTGTCAAATGTCAGGCAACCTTTTTAGTTTTGCAGCTTTAAACTTAAAAGCTTATTTTAAAAAGCCTTGTCCATAAAGTACACTTTAGGGACTAACACGTTATTAGTGAAAGCCACTTTTAAAAGTGATGATTTCTTCTATTTTACTGTACAATGAGATCCAACAAAAGGGATTTTTATACCATATTCATTCTCTGTGGAGTGTTTTAGCAGTTGCTTTTTATGTATTTTTATCTTCCAAGGACCTTCTCTTGCTGTCGTTCCGAGTTTTTAAATTACTTTATGAAAAAAGTGTAGTACTTTAACTAACAGAGAAGAGTGAAAATGCAAATAACTATTTACAAGTACCTGCTATCAACACATGCCCTGACTTCTTTCCACCTTGCACTCGGTGACCTTAAAAGGCTATTTGTATCAGAAGATGTATCACCACTGTATAGCAATCTGCTCTTTGTCTACATATGAGCTGACTTCTTGTCACCCTAAAATCAATGGAAACTTCCCCATGATTTCACATGGGACAACTTTCTCCTTTGCTATACTGTTTCTGCTCACCAAATCATGCAAGGATTAGTCCCCAGGCATCACAGCAGATACAGCAAGGTGGGGGGGGGGGATTCAGACCACTTCTCTAAGTAGAGCCAGTTTTGATGCTGCCTTAGAGTGGACAGGAGGCTCAAAGTGACCAAAATAGCTATCTTCAATTTTTTCTTGCCATTTCAAGACCTGACAGGTTCCAGGGTATATGCGGATGCCAGTTTTAAGCTTTGTTATAAGGATAAATCCAGAAGTCTAAGATGACTGGTTGAACATGGTCAGATAGGCAAAATTACTCAAAATCATGAACTTCTACATGTGTTTACATTCCAAATTCCAGTTTCAGAGGAAAGAGCATATGGTACAGTTATCAATAGAAACAGTTTACAGGCATCTTCCCCTACCATTACGTGGGTCCATCGGTAATCATTTAAATTGATGGAAGTTTTTGTATGAAGGTATTAATAAGAAAGGATGAACACTATCATAAAAGAAAAAAAAAAATAGATTAGGATGCTGGCAAAAAAGTAGCAACTAAAGACACAGTCTGACCAAATTTGTTGCAAATAGTTTTGTAATGGAATTCACATAAATATCCTTTCTCACAGCTATGCTGACTAGAGGTCAAGCTTAAGGCTCAAGAAAAAATAAAAGCTGTAGGCAGCTGATAACTAGAAAGTGAGAGCTTTGCTTAACTGCTTGCATGATGACCTTCACAAAGATTCTTGGTGCCTTTAAGCCCCATCAACTATTTTTCCTGTTGATCAGGAGCTCACCATGGTGTTCTCAGTCTCATTCTCAGCTTTTCTTGCCATGGAAACCTTGGTGAATTTAAGGATGACACAGCTTCTGTCCACCTGAGGTGCCAGCAGGGAAGGTAACCAGGCCCAGACCTGAGAAGTTTCTCTGAGTTTCACTTTCAGTTCTGAAAGTGGCTACTTTTATTAATTTATTTATGTATTTATTTTTTTTTATTTCCACCACATTGTTGAAATAAAACTAAGCGCTCCTCATGAGATTAAAATGTGCCACTGCTGAGCTCTCTCAGTTCAGGAAATCTTGTTTGGATTTGGTATATGACATCTATACTAACTATTTCATGGCTGGGATGGCTGCCCTTTCTTGGGAGATGAGTTTCTACTCTTGCTGAGGGGAAGCAAATCAATGCTCAAATTAGGAGATTGATGAAAGTCTTTCTTCCTTGATGTCTCTGTTCCACCTGGGAGTCCTTAAGTAATCACGATTTTTGTCCTTGCTATCATTTAGCTGCAAAAGACTATCAAGGTTC